TGTGTGAGGGTGGGCCTTTGCGCACATGCAATACATATTGGAGCTGTTTTCACTTGCATGTGTTCCCCATGATGATTACCCAAGTTGTTACAAACGTGGTCTTGGCAGATGGCCCAGCAACCTTCAAGCTCTCTCCTTGCTTTGAGCAAGCATCAGCTTACAAGACTAGGAACAAGTGTAAACATTGGTGAGTATGGACTTCAGCTACTTTTTTTAAACGTTAAGCACTTGAGCGCATACAGTCTTGGTAGCAGGCAAGCATGCACCTTTGAACACCGCCCATCTTTGTCTCTGCCCATCTGGAAGCTTCAACACATAGGCCATGTGCAATAACCGTTGCATGTCCTTTCATTTCACCTGGTCTGAAGTGGGAAATTCTCAGGCAGTGATCAAGAACCAAAACCAGTACTAGCCCTTCTTTTGGTACATTACATGGCTAGCACTCAATCGATTTGACTAGAGGCCTTCTCTCTTGTAACCTCTTGTAACCTCTTTTTTTGGTACACTACATGCAACTTGTATCGTGTTCGTTGTGTTTGTGGGCACAGGCTTACCTACTTGCATTGTCGAGAGTCATATAGAACAATGGTCCACCAGACACATGTACGCCTTGGTGAGTAAAAAAAAGGCTGCCAGGGCCCAGATAGTAACAATTTGTGAATGCCTCTTGTCCCCATGCCATGGGAGAGCAACTGCTGAAACTTTTAGTGACAGGAATGAGTGAGGCTTTTCCTTTTTTTTAAATCTTATAGCTGGTGCAAGATAATCTACGCGCCCGTAACCTCCATGCAACAAACAAAAAGATGTTGGCAAGTACACCACACAAAAGTTACAGCCAGCCTACACCATCACATAACATAGAGGTGTGCACACATTTGTGCACTTGTGCAAGCACTCACATCCGTTCCAAGAGGCCTAGGCTCACCATATGTAAAAAGTGAAAAAGGCATGTATTGACTTTAGCTATTTCTTCAAACATTAAGCACTTGAGCGCATATGGTCTTGGTAGCAGGCAAGCATGCACCCTTGAACATCGCCCATCATTGTCTTTGCCCATATGGAAGCTTCAGCATACAAGCCCCAAGTCTATAAGCCATGCGCAACAACTGTTGCATGTCCTTTCATTTCACATGGTCCAAAGTGGGAAATTCCCAAGAAGTGATCAAAAACCAAAATTTGCACCAGCCCCTTCTTCTGGTACACTACATGCAACTTGTATTGTGTTTGTTGTGTTTGTGGACACAGGCTTACCTACTTGCATTATCTGAAGGGTCCTATGGAACTATGGTCCACCTAACACCTGTACGCCTTGGTGAGTCCAAAAAAGGCTGCGCGGGCCAGAATAGTATTAATTTGTGAATGCCTCTTGTCCCCATGCCAGGAAGAGTGTTGAAATTTCGGTGACAGGAGTGAGTGAGGCTTTTGAAAAAGGAAAAGCCTCACTCCTCCTTTTCTTCTCCTTTTCTTTTTTTTAAATCTATAGCTGGTGCAAGACAACTACGCGCTCGAAGACTTCCATGTAACACACAAAAAGACATTGGCAAGTACACCACACACAAATTCACACCCAGCCTACACCATCACATATCATTAAGGTGTGCACACATGCACGTGCAAGCACTCACATCCATTTCTTGAAGCCTACGCTCATCGCATAAACAAAAACGAGAAGGGGGGCAAAAATGCTCTTGCTTGGGTTCGAACCAAGGACCTTCTCGGTGTAAACGAGAAATCATAGCCACTAGACCACAAGAGCGAATGAAAGGAGTAGTGGGTGGTGGGTATATGTAGGTGAGGCCGGAGAACCATGTGGTCTTGGTGCATCTTGAAGTAAAGTTTGTGCATCAGCTTCCTGGAACTGTGCTTCCTTGCTCTTGGCTTTCCTGTAATTGCTGTGCCTCGCCTCCGTTGCATTGGCCAGGCCTCCCTGTTGTTGCCTTGGTATCTGTAGGCAGGACTGCCTTTTGACTCGGTCTAGTCTGTGGGCAGGAGATTTTCCCTTTCCTTGTCTCCACATCTATCATCTCTGATGATCCATTTTTTACTGTCAAGTTCCATATGGTGTGTTTCTGTACTGCTCCAAAATGCAGTTTTGACCTCGTAATGGATAAAATCATGTCTGAGCGGTTCCGAGGTATGGCTGGTCCGATGCAGTTTGTCCTTGTGAGGTTGGAAATGGGGCAAATTTTTTTGATTTTCGGATTTTTGGAAATGAAAAATCGAAAATGGAATTGGGAAACCCCGCAAGGTGGACTTTTCCCTAAATGGAGCGCTGCAGCAGGCCCTCATACCTGCTCTCCACGCAAGCGAAATTTCAAGGGTAACAATTCAAGAGAGACCCTGGATTGTTACTCAATCTTGGTCACCCTTTGACCAACCAACTAACTGCGAGGGAGTTTTCCCTGGGCGGATTGCAGTGCCAAGCAGTCTTAATTATATTGAGCAACACTTGGCTGGTGAATCCGGCGCGTGCACGCGAGTGAGGAGCGTGTCTGTCGCCTGACCATCCACACGCCTTAGAAGGTACATCCTAGTAGCCGTCTCCCACACGCTCGCTTGTTGCTAGAACGCTACCTATTACATTTGGTACCGAAGCCACCGGTCCTATGGACCTTTGTTTGTTTTGGGACCAGTATCACACTGGATAAACAGGTTGATTTGTCCACTAAAGGGCGCTTTTCCCTTGCCCACGTGAGTGTCACGATGAAGGTCGTAATAATGATGTGTAACTGCTAGAGTGGCAGCACAAAGCAGTTGGAAGTGGTTAACATGGTGATAAAGTGCTTGTGCTGGGTTTGACCCCCAGAGATATATACCCCCCAATATCTGGCGTTAGGGCCAACAGCACTTGCGTATAGCCAGGCTATTAAGAGAGCTCGCGGCTTGCCTAGGTGCGTTGTGACAGAGTGGACGCGAAGCTAGGTTCTGATTCTGGGCTTGCGCTCTAGCACGCTTATTACCAACATTTTTAGAAATTTATTAGGACACCTAGGGGGCGCAGGCTCTCCGCAGTACCAGCACCCCCGTCACGCCACTTCACGCCACGGCCTACCTCCCCGTCGACAATGGCTCATCCCGGTTAGTGCACTCTTACGCTGTTTGTGAATGACCTAAAAATACTGTAGTGCGCTTTGGGTGCTTGACGTTGCGGACTTGTCGGAGTTACACGCTGGAGCACGGCTCGGTGTGAAGTTTGGGTTGTGGTACTGTGCGCGTGATCGAGCTCGGCTGTTGAGCGAGCTGATACGGCAAGTACACAAGCAAGCTAGTTGTGGTCATCAACACCTGAGTGACGTCGTGAACATCACGATGGGCTGGTTTGATTCTCCCGGAATGAGGCACTTGGCAGATGTGTGCAAGTGGCCCATTGCAAAATGTAAAGACTTCCTAGCACCAAACCATGCTGGTGCAGGAGATGAGGAGATAACAGAGCAGCTGCAGACTGCATAGGAGCGTGGCGGCGCAAGTGGAAGTGTGCCACGCATGCAACAAGCGCCCGCCCCTGGAGACTAGGCAAGGCTCTCTGGCCAAGGTGAAATCGAGGAAGTATTTGGTCCGTATGGAGATGTCTTTGGTGAGCTGCATGGCATGTATTCTGGAAGTAACACTCCTCTGCCCGGCAAGAAGCATGTGCATGCAACACCACAAGCGATTGACTTTGATAGTGCGGCCAATGACCCAAGAGTTGGGCGTGCACAAAGAGATGAGTTTGAAAAAATTGCCCATGCACGCATGGGTCCAAGGGAAGGATCCAAACCACGTAATGTGCCTGCACATGGTTGGGTGCCTGCAAGTTTTGATGCACACAGAAGGGCTCAGCCTAGGTCCATGTCATTTGGAGATGACACGTATGTTGTGCCTGCTGGTAATCGTCGCACAGGCCCTGAGCTGCGGCAGGAGCTAGAGCGAGTAGAGCACGAGGTGCAGCAGCAGCGCAAGGAGACGGAAATTCTGGAACTGAGGGCGAAAAACCAGGATCTGACGGAGAGAATCCACGGTGGTCACCTCCAAGCGGAGAGGGATGCCGCATGGCAGAGGGACACCTCACATGGCCTTGGCGCTTTGGGTGCCAACATCCGCAGTGCGGAAGATGGTGTGGCAAGGTTGTCCAACACCATTGGGTCTGGCGGACGGGATGAGGACAACCGCATCATCATGGGACAGAGCAACCCTGCTAAGGTGAGCCAAGAGGCTACTTTGGATGAATTTACCAGGCAGCTGGATTTTGTTAGTGTGCCTGCTGGAAATGTGAAAGTAAACATCCAACCTGTGAAGCCTTGGACGTTGAAAGATTGTGAGTGGCGTGATGTTGGCAAGTTCCTAAGGGATTGCCAAACATACTCACTTGCGTCCGAGCAGGTGCTTTGCCAGAATTTGGGAACCCACTTGACCGAGCCCGTTCGTCCGGGCTACGAAGCGGTCAAAACAAGATTGGTGAGTGCGGGGTACTCAGAACACAAGGCATGCATTCAAGCGTTTTTGGTGGTGACTAGCAGAGACATGCGTGATCCAAGCATGGAAGCAAAGATTGCTTTGGACCGATGCCAAGTCAAGCAGCAAAAAGATGAATCTATTGTGATGTATGCTGCACGCTTTCGAGGAAAAGATGAGTCCTTGGTGTGCGATCGCTTTGTTGAAGGCATCGCCAGCCACACACTACGTGCCGAATGTAGAGGACCTGTCATGGGTGGTAGATGGTACTCGTTGGAAGAGTGTGTGCAGTATGCTGTAGCACGCTCTAATGTGCATGCACAAGTTGCACGTGGTCCAAAGAATAGTCATGCTGTGGCTAGTGTCAAGCAAGGAGGACCGAAGGGGTTTTCACACAACAAAAAACGCCCTTACGTTCAGGCTGGGCATGCATGTTTGAGATAATGAAGCAACAGCTCCTCCCACTTTTGAGCATGCAGGACCTCACCCTAAGGACAGCCGAGCAACCCTGCCGTGTGAGTGTGAGCTTGAGGGGGCCCTAGGTGGGGGGCCAGGAATCAGTCAAAAGCCCTGCCAGAATGGGGTCCTTAGGAAGCATCCCCCCGGCTTACCTAACCTGCAGCGATGGTTAAGTATTTTATCAGGAGCACATCTTGGGGGGTCCGGGGGCCTGGGGCGGGGGTTCGGAATTTCACCCAATTCTAGCAGGGAAAAGCGGAAGTCTATGCAAACGACACAGGGTGAACCGTTTGGGGAACCGATTTAAGAGACCTGCTAAATAAACTATATATTTTGACAATTTACAACTTTTTTGGGCCGGAATGCAGCAGGAAAGCAGAAAATTCAAGATTGAAGCGACAGCTAGGCCTGTTCTGTCCGTCTGGGCTTTCCCCATGCTAACGACTTGATGGCAAATGAAGTTTGTATTGCACTTTCGACATTGTTGGGGTCAGACCGAGGAGGCATGCGGGGACGCTTAATTCCATTGCCTTGACAGCTCCCAGCCTTGAACGAGCCCCAGGAACGCGCACACCCACACCTAGGCCCCCAAACTTGGCAGAGCATGCTTGAGTAACATACTAAACAACAACCCATACTCAGCTCGTGGCCAAACACAGTGCTTGCCTGCTTTCTAGTTTTGCACCACTTTTGCCTCGCAGACGCGCTCATGCTCAAAGTGCTTTGGGGCCAATTTTTACCCCCCCCTTTTTTCACTCTGATGGGTCAGGTTTGACACAAAAAGTACGGGGAAGCCAAAAAATGGGGCCAATTCGGGTCAAAACATGCATCATGGCACCCAATTCGTAGGGAATGGCCAATTTTGGCCTAAAATGCCTCAAAATATGCCCCTGGCTCACCTTCAACACCTCATCCCCACTTTTTTTGATGCAGAAGTGCCAAAAAAGTTACCCTAGACTATTCTGCATACAAAAGAGGGGGGAATCTGCTTGCTTCATTATCTCCCTCTATTTTTTGCCTAGCATGCCCAGCCTGACTTACGTGCAGAATAATACCACACCATTGAGGCCCACGGGTGAGCCGTCCTCCAAGCCGCCTCCAAGAAGTACAAGGCGAGCAAGCCCAAGCCAAATGTGGCGCGTGATGAGTGTGCAAAGTGTGGGCAAAAGGGACACTGGCAGTCGCAGTGCCCTAACTCTCGGTAGGAACCTGCTCTTGGTAGCGTAGTGCCGCGTGCGCAAGGAGTAAGTGAGCATTTCCAGAACATTGAGGAGAAGGGTGTTGGTCCCGCTCCCATGGACATTGAACCTCCTTGTAAGGAATTGCTCTTGGCACATGAAGCAGTACAGCCCACAGTGGGTGCTGCTAGGCATATCCATGGTCTCACTTTTGTGTTCCAAGGTTCTTTTGGTGGAAAGCCATGCAGGGTGTTGTTTGACACAGGGGCCTCTGGCTGCTTTGTCAGCGAAAAGTGGCTAGGGAGGTCAGCCTTATGGCAAGGTGCTTTGAAGCCTAAAAAGCTAGAAAAGACCTGCATGCAACAACTGCAGACAACAAGTCATGGCTGTGTCAACAAAGTGTTGTGGCACAATGAAAATCCAAGATGCAAAGATGCATGTTGAGCCTTATATTATGAGCTCATTGCTCGAAGAAGTGGACATAATAGTGGGGATGGATGCCCTCAAGAAGTATGAAGCTGAATTGTGTTGCGAAGAAGAAAGGGTCAAGGTGGTCACTGGTGGTCAGAGGCAATGGTTAGAACCATACCATCCAAGAGTTCAGAAAAGTAAAGGAAAGGAAGACCCTTATATCTCAGTGTGCTCAACAGAGGCTTTAAAAGAAGCACAAGTGGAACACCTTTCAGCT